GTATATATATATATATATGTACTACACTCCAAGCAGAGATTTGGGTTTATTTTTGGCGTTTTTAAGATTTTATCAGGGTTTCTTTTTTGCACTGGAATTTTTTCTTTGTCCAACCCATTTCCAGTGCAAAAAAAGACGCCCCGATAAAAAAAGCCTAAAACACGCCAAAAATAACCCAAACCTCTGCTTGGAGACTGGAGAGTATGAATGTACACAGAAGCACACACAAAACAAACAAACTAACTAACTAACTAACCTCCTCCATGTCGGTACGCCTCTGGCTAAGGTAAGAGTTCTGGAGAGCGGACAGGATACCACGCTTGATGTTGACCACCCAGGTCTCCTCTTCAGCAGACGGGCAGATCTCGGGGATAACTCCATCCTGGGGGAAACAGGGAACTGATCATCAAATCGCCTAGATGAAACCATTTTGAAGTTTAAGTTGTGAAATTTTGAAGTAGAATTGTGAGTATGGAATTCCTACTATTTGTAAGCCTACGGCAACAACATATACGTCGTGTGGTTGTCGTAGGCTTGTAAATTAAAGAGAGAATTCTTTGGATTGAATAATCTTTGAATATTCTTTACGCGGAGTGCGTCGAGTCCAAAGTGAGTGATTCTTTTGATAGTCGACGTCGTGTATTTTTCGCTTATGTCTTCTTACGGAAAAGGCCGTCTTTGAGATTCTTTTCGGTAGTCAGTTCTGTTACAGCTAGTCTTCAAATTCTACATCAATACGGAACGACGACCAAGCGAAAGATCTATGGACAACATGATGGATAGAGACGGGGGGCGCCACAGACTTTCTGCAATCTATGATCCACCGCTGACGGAGTCACGTGCGTTACCTGCGTGACGTCACGGAAGCGGTGGGTTTCTCATTCCTTGACAAAGACTGGAGTTGTGCAGTCGAACAGTTCACTCTTGTTCATAAAGATAGATAGAGAGACAAAAGTAAAAGACGAAATACGAATGTATTTGTCGTTACCTGGAAGGAGAAGCGGAGAGGATGTCTCTCCAGCGCTCTCTGGAACTCCCGCTTGTTGGAGGACGTCACCATGAGAGCCTGGCGAGAAGCTTCCTTCAGATCCACGTCACTCAGCTGGGGGAGGGGGGCGGAACTCAAGGTCAACTCGGTCAAGGTAATTCTTTTAAAAATTGTGTTAAAAACCGACTTAAATGTTAGATGTTGAATGTTAGAGAATCCGGACTAATGTAAGTTTTAATAAAATGTCTCTAGATTGTTGTATTCGATAAATGAGGGATCAATTATGGCAAGGTCATCATCTTGAAAGTATGAAGGTCAAACAATAAAATAATCATCATGAAAGTAAAAGCAATAAATGAGATTGGGAACGAGAATTCACGACGTACCCTGAGGACGAGCTCGCACTTTGAGAGCACTTCCAGGTCAACTGTGGCCGCGATTTCCAAACCGGAAGTGTCGTCACTGCTTCCGACCAGCTGTGTCGTTGTCTTTGCGTCATATCTGTACCTGTAGGTGCGGCCTATTCTGTAGTCGAGAACGTTGCTTTCTGTGAACAAGAAACAAACAAACAATGTGAATAAATACAACAAACAACAGTTATTACTTGTCAAAACAAGGCATATGTCTTTTAACATCATCTTTCTTCTTCTACTCCCACAATCCCCCCAAAAAATGGGTGCCTCTGACGCATTGGAATGGAATTCGTAGTATTGCCTTTCAATACTATGCTCCGCCCCAGAGGCGCCGCCAAAAAATAGCTGGTCAGATGAAGAGACCTCTAGCGGTTTTTGTGTGAACTACAGTACAATCAGCCACAATGGGTAAGATAGGATGACGCAACAAGTGCGATCCCAGCTGAACAAAGGACGAAGCCAACAAACAGCGCTTCAGACTCTTTCTCTTCTAGATCATTCTAGCATTGGTTCCCCAACACATTCACATGATCTCACATTTGTTAGGCTTTATAACTTTGAAGTCTTAAACTAAAGATTTTCCTTAAAACTATCCAAGAAGATCCTAGGGTGGCAAATTGGCCAGGCAGTATCCATTGGCCTGCAGAGAGGGTCCAATACGCCACCCAAGATCTGCTTGGAGATTACCATGATATATGATATCCGTACATATCAAGGGTGGATTTTGGGTGTCGACAAGCGGTGGCAAAAACAAGTTCTCAGGTTTCCGAGCACTAATCCCTCCTTCTGTGTACTATCTGTCTAAATCCTCAAATCCCCTTCAACCGAACAATGGCGACATTCGGATTATTTGTTCAGACTGCCCACACAACTCGAACAAACCGCACTATAAAAGAACTGAACTAAGACCCTCTAGGACTCATCTACATGTATATTAATATTGATGCTGACTACCGGAGCTTCTTTGTCTTTATTTTGTACTCGGGTATTGTTTTCCTCTTTAGCTACAAACTTCCTCTTTGTGTCTGTAAGCCTTAAGACCCCCCCCCCCCCAAAAAAAAGAGAGAAAGAGCACAATAGGCAATAGCTCACTTTCTGTGCATTAAATTTAGTCAGTCATGCTTTGTTTCTCCAGTCCATATATCCTCCTTGGTCTAACAAAACAATTACTTCATAACAGTAAAAACATATGCGTTGTCTCCAAGTATGTATGTGGTTAAGAATAAGCATGTTTTCAAGACCATTTTACTCTCATATGGAACTGTCCTTTGAAAAAACAATCGCATCGCTACAAAAACGAACAAAAAACCTTCTGAAAACAAGCCAAAGATCCACTATCTACACAGAGACAAGCAAAACGCGAATACAGCCAGTTCCTGAGAAAAACACAGTCCGCAGACACAAGAACAACCAGTTAGGCAAAAAAACGCGCCCGTGTCGGATTCCATCCGTGTTATTTCCGGAACAAAGACCCCCCCCCCCCCCTCAGAAGTATTGCATCACTCTTTTGGCCCGTCGCCATTTTCAAGACACGCTTTTTAAATCCTATGCATAACCCGTATCCAATCCTGTATATCGTCTTTCTCCACAAACATACACAGATTTTAATCGTTTTTGCATGTCTACTAGTATTTGCAGCGATTGTGCGACTTTTAATTCAGTTTTTTTCTGTAGCTGCTTGTAGACGTCCAAAAACAACTCAAGGATACGTTTATGTAACAAGAACCTCCTTGCATGTAAGTATACAAAAACAACCCAAAGCCTTTTCTTCACAAAAATGTACAGAATGTGACCGTTTTTGCATGCATGTTTGCATGTACGTGCAACTTTTCATGCGACTTTTTTTTCTTTCCTATAGCAGCTTGCTTGATTGACGTCTACAACAGCTCACAGAAGTGTACGAAAACAACCCAAAGCGTTCCATCTTCTTCAAGATAAGGCCAGGCGACCAGATGCTGGCCTTTTCCATTGTTTTCCGGACACTTGGCTCCGCTCGAGCGAGTTTTGGATGGTAGCCCGAAAACGCGACACCGGGGACTTTACTCCTCAAATTTGTCCTGGTCACTTCTTATTGTTCGGCGCTGTTTACCTCAGCTAATGCCTCAGAGGAGCGCAATTAAACAATCGTCTTTTCCCAAGGGAGCTTTTCGTTACAACAAGTAGTTCATACGGCGTGAAAATTGCCTTAAAATCACAACCAACCACCACACAACGTTCTAACACGAAGAAGCCACTATCAGTGCGACTGTGATTAAGTAAACGTAAGCGTACGTCACGAAAGTTTGACGGATCAAAAGTTGCTCCTGTTATCAGGTGTACCTTGCCCCCTCAGTTTACTGAGTTACCCGTGTGTACACACAATGCAGCTCCGCACTTTAAAATCTCAGAATCGGACTGCGGAAAAAAAAAATCCGTGCGGTCAACACTTGGGACCATGTTTCCGAGATTTAGACGTTGTGTTAGGGTATTAAAGAAGGTTATGTAATAATATATTCACGTACCTGTACAGTGTCTGGAACACTGGTCATCTGTGACGGACGAGAGGGGCACTGTAGCAAAACAACAAAAACAGGAACAAGTTGTTACATCAATGACTCAATATTTGCTCTTTAAAACCCACACACAAGCATGTATGTAACAATGCGTGGTCACGTTTTATTGCCGATTGCGACATGTATGGTGTATGTAGCAATTAAGGTCGGGCCTGTTGTTACATGTAGCGTTAGGGGAATAGAAGGAAAGAAACTCCTGCCAAAACTTTGACAAAACGGACGGGTTGGACTCGCCCGGGGGGTTTGCCGTTCGCGTCACGCAACTAACTGCGCCACTGCACAGAACTATTATGTAAAACCTCCAACAAGCCTTCCTAATTAGCTATATATGGATACTAACAATCGGCTAAAATAGGAGGAAAAATTGGCAAGGGTAGTGAGACACAAGAAACGTAACATTTTATGAACTTTCTGGTGAATAAACCCTGGTAAACCATTCCTGGTAACCTGGGAGACCACAAAGCTCTAAATCTCACAAACAAAAGGCTCCCAAAAGGTTTTTCAGTTTTTACATAGCAACACGCAGTTTTCCATTACCCTTTATAGATCGATCCCATTTACAATCCATCATGAAGTATTGTCCCCCTAAAAGGAAGAACAGAACACCCCCGCTGTGTGAACCAGGCGAGCTCTCGGCCTTGTGCCCAACTTCGCATCGTCATCAGTTTTCTACCCCGACAAACAACCTCCGGACCGCAATTGTTTGTCAGCGGCTCACACAAGAGATAACACCTCAAGATATCGCTTCTTCTACAGCTTCTTAAAGATCTCAGAGCGCTTCTCACAAGACAAAGAACTTAGGCCCCGGAATGTTGCGTTGTTCTAAATCAATCTCGGCTCACGGATTTGGTAGTAGCGGGAGTGGGTCATAGTCCAAGGTATTAAAGTGCCCTTTGTCACAAACAGCTGACTGGGGACGGTATCAGGTACCCATGCCAGATTGAAAACAGGCCCGGCTGGGCAGACTGTACGGCGCACGGGCATATCACGGTAAACAAGGGAGAGATATCTCCTCCGGTAGCCTGTTGTTCACTATTTCTTTCGCCTGGATCTTACATACCGTGTTTTTCTTTTCACCGGGAGGGAGCAACTTTGTTTTCGGCGCAGGGAGTTTACATTTCCCGGGGGTCACATAGAGAGCGCTCGCCTCTAGCCCCGTCTAAGCGATCCTTACGAAGAAAAACATACCACGATCACAATAAAAAGGAAAAGAAGAAAGAAACGACTTACCGGAGAAGCCTCCGGCCACCAGGGCAAAGAGGACAACGGTTCTTAGCTCCATGTTTGCGAGAGCTACACTCCGTTTGGGCGTCCTTTTGTGTAAAACTGATTCTCTGGGTCTCCACCGAATGACGGACTCCTTCGCAAGGCGGTTTTTATACCCGGACAGTCAACAAGCTCGGAGCAAAGTCGCTCGGCTCTGATTGGTCGGCTGGGAGGGACATTCTGCTGACAGCCCGGACCGAGCTTCATCCCGGCTCCTCATTGGCTGTGCGGGTTGTGACGTCACGGTTAAGGGCCGGAGGATTTGGGCGGGAAAATGCGAAGATGGCTCAGACTTCATCTCCAAGCAGCTAGATCCTAGGGTGGCACAAGACAGTATCAAATCGACCAGTAAGTATCCATTGGTCAGAGAGGGTCCAATACACCACCCAAGGGTGGATACTGTCTGGCCAATGGATACTGTCTTTTGCCACCCTAGGATATGCTTGGAGATTAGCTAAGACTTGAAAGGCAGTTATGTTTTCGCTTACATGGCTTACAGTGAGTGTGTGAGATTTTGTGTACGTGTTTGTCTGTCCGTTTGTTTGTTTGTTTATTTGTTTGTCTGTCTGTTTTTAAGGTCTTGTATTCGTCAATATCCCTCCGATTCGTCGTATCCCTCGTATTACTTTTAATATGACCTGTTTTTTGTAAGACGAGGTACAGTTATTCCAAGGAGCAAACGAACGCACCTTGTCACAATAGAAGAACATTGCGCAATATAGCGAAACCTCAATACAGGTAAAAAGATTGCAGAATCACTTTTGACTCACGTCTAATTTGGTACAAAAAATGCCAATACAGGAATAACGTGGGTAAATGGTTGCAGTTCAAATTTTCCCAGTTAGATTATGGTTACATGGGCACGCACTTTTCAAGTGCCCGACAAAGGGTTTGTAATTTTGCCGAAGCTTGGCCATTTTACATGTAACGTCAAGAACCTAATATGTACATGTACATGTGCTCAGTGTCGTATTAGGTATATTACATGTATGTCTGTGTATACCGGTCATATCTAGTTATCAACGACCTGTACTTGGCCCTTTGGGCATAAAGTTACGATAAGGTCTTTCATTCGTTTCTTCGTATGTTCCCTTGTGTGTTCCTCCATTCGTTCATTCTTTCGTTCCTTTATTCCTTGCATCATTTATTCGTTCATTTGTTTCTTCCTTCATTCGTTCATTCATTCATACTTTCCTTTATTCTCTCCTTCATACGTTCTTTCATTCATTCATTTCTCTCTTCCCTCATGCATGTAGATATTATCAAAGCCTATTAATGAAGTAATCGAACAGCTATTGTATAGTGACTCGGTGGAGAGTGCAAAAGGTTGTCGTGGTCGAACTTTGCTCCCGACATGTGCTATACTGAACAATGTAATAAGCCTTTCACATAGCCACCACATATAACAGTGAACAATGCATAGTTATAGCATTCCAACATTTTATGATCCCTATAGCCAAACTGTATATTAGTATAATTATGGCTACCAACCACTGATTTTGTCTTGGTTTTACTGTTACATGTAGACCCAGAAGCTTTTCTGACACCTCCCCAGTGTCACTGAGGAAAGGTAGACTACTAGTGTATGCTACATGAAACGTCTGACCGCGTTTCCAAAATCATATCCAGTTGCTTGAGTAACTTTTTTGGCGTATCTTATTACCTGGATGTCTAACCTTCATCGATGTATCCAGAAGTTATCTTTAAGTTTAGAAAAATCGGGATTACAATAGCGAATTTCAGATGAAGGTAGCTTTATAACTTAACTACATGTGTATACAGCAACGTATACTTTATCTGTTTGGGCTCTTGGAGATCACTTCTTCCCAGAAGTCGCCAATTTGCGGAATGATACAGGTACATGTCCTGTTGGCCGTTCTGTGGTTAGTCAGGAATGTGCAGAGATAACCTTTGTTCGTGTCTGTGCGCGACCCGAACCGTCTCGGACTTCGCACCGGCGCCGTGGACACGGGCGGCCAGACAGTGATCTCCAAGCAGATGTTTCGGTGGCTGCAAGAGACTGTATCAAATTGGCCATGAAGTGTCCATCCATTTGCCAGACAGTTATCAGTTGCCACCCGAGTCAAGGCGGCCGAGGCCTCTCTCTAGATGGTCAGTTCTAACCGTAACGCTTTTGCCGCCAGACATCTGCTTGGAAATTAGGTTGTGGGGCTATGTGTTTTATAAATCATCTTACGTCAAAACCGTTTAAAACAATCTACAAACAAGGAGTGAGCTAATTAATGAACTAGCTAACCAACTAACCAACCAATCAATTGATCGATATATTAACCAATTAAGTGTAAAAACAAGGACGAGCGAATTATGCTTTCTTCTTTCACCAATTCATTCATCATCTTTTTCTTTCTTTTATTCATTCATTCATTCATTCAATTCATTCATTCATTCTTTCAAAAGACATGATCATGTATACCATGTACAATTTGGTTATACTAATATACTGTATGTGGATGAAGTGATGAATTAATGGACAACAAATAGACACATACAACTCTACTCTAAACACTATCTAAACTTCTACAACACAACAACGTAATTTGTCACCATCTATCCTGTCCATTAATTGAAAGGTTGTTTGTGTTTATATGTGGTAAGCTGAGTCCTTCCCCTTCCAACTCTGTAAGCTCCAGAACTTGTCCCAGTTTCCTGTTGCTGCCGTAAAAGTTGTTTTTCATACCGACGCGGGAAAAACATCTTTTGTTGCGTCCCCGCAGAGTTTGGGACAAACAAGAAGAAAGAGGACGGTTCTGAGAAGACGTCCGGAGTTGCCGTGCGTTGAATGGAAAACAGGTTGACAATACTCTATAGCATTTTGGCGTGTTTTTAGGCTTTTTTGTTGGGTTTTCGTTTTTTGTAATGGTATCTTTTTTTCTTGTGCCAGCCAAAAATATATCAAAACAAAAAAGAAAGCCCGACAAAAAAGCCTAAAACACGCAAAAATAAGCCTAAGCCCAAACCTCTGCTTGGAGAGTAGAGAACAAAGACTGGAAAGTCCGGTTGTGGAGACGTCAAGTTCCGTACAAAAGCATAGGATCATAATAACCACTTCCGCAGTATTGAATTTTGTTTATGCGATCTTGAACTTACGACATAACCATAAGTTTGCCAGTACATAAGTTTATTGCAAATTCTTAAGCTAGCTTTCCCGAATTAAGGGCAATTGCTGGTAATCATTTTAAGTCACATACACCGTAGGATGAACGCACGGTCTTTTCTGTTTTCTGAAACTTTTTCTTAAATATTACATATTTTCTTACATATAATTTTGCTTGGATGCTTTTTGTTCCTTGCTTTGCAGAAAGTAACATCTAATGTACTCTTTCTTCCACAGCGCATCTAACACTGCATGCAAATCGGTCAAGACGTCAGATTTCGCCCAGTAGGACTAACACGTTACTTATCAGATGTCCCTTGCTGACGCAACCGCTTGAATGTGTGTCACTGGCAGGTACAGAGGAGCACAAACTTCCAGAGTCAGCAAAATCTCAGGTTTCGCGTGTGAACAGCAAAATTTCGGACATTTCTTAGCATAGTATAATCTTCTCCCTGCTGCCTAACCCTGTAACACAAGTTTTAGAGGAGAAGCCTATTTCAGTAGAAAGTATAGTAGATTGAATCTGTAAAATGTTTGTGGTTAACATTGGTAAAAAAGTTTATTGCACATTGTCTTCGATCACCCTAGTTTTAGAGTACACATTATGTAATCGTACTAAGTCGTAACCTTTGGTCAGAGGCATTTTCTACTGATTGAAATAATGTACATAAACGTTCATCTATTAAGTTGTTCTGATCCAGCTACAAGTGGTTCAGATTGAGAAGAATGTAGCCTACATACTCCTGCAATTTGAACAGACAAAGCGTACAAAATGTAGTGATGTGGAACGTTCACTTTTGTATATGTATAATCATGAATCTACAGAATCGTTACTTAAATCAGTGAAATAAGTACATCACACTTTAGTTGATATGTTAAGATTATTTCTCCATATAGCTGAGCCTATTACAGTGCCAGTTCCGCAGCGAATAACTGCACCGCTATACTTGAGTGTTGTACTTTGTCCCTATGTGGTACATTTGTATGTACTGTATGTACTAGTATTGTATTTTGTCCCTACAATTGTTGATGTTCCTAAAATTCAGTGTAATGTATTGTACATTTCCTGATAACTATACTGGTAGATATAAAATCTGGTGTACATATAATACAGCAATTACAACGAATTGCTTTTTTTGCTACCCTTTACAAACTTGCACTACTCTTACCACACTGAACTGTACATGGACGCCTAGCTATCTGGTGTTTTATTTTGTTGTCCTTGCGATGTCTCACATGGGCTTCCAAACTTGGGAAAGTTCCAAGGCGTGACTCAAGTTCACAAGGGCATTCTAGAGAACAACAATGTAGCAGGCTTTTGTTACATTTGGACAGTCTTTCAGTTTGAGTTTAGGACGACAATGCGAAATTCAGATAACGCAAAAACGTCCACCTTTCATACATGTACATACATGTAGATTTGTACAGATATAGTCTTACCAACTTTTAATACACAATATTTCTCTAGCTTATATATATTCATAGTCCTATTAGACTTTGAACCATCCTTTATTCACGAAAGCCCAAATCGGCATGCAAGTCGCTTTACATTGAAGTCATAAGGGAAGAGGTAGGGGTAAGACTCCTAATAAGTTTGCACCGCTGTAGTATGATATCTTATATAAAAGTCTAACTCAGACTCAAAACAAACTTACGCTACCCCTATTCCACGTGACCATTTTCTGGCTGAGCCAGCTAGATAGTTCACATAACTTGTAAAGTAACATTCAACATCTACCTTACATACTTAACGTAACATCACAAACCACAGGTATCGCCGTGTAATGCTACGCTTGCGTTAAGCACATATCACGTTGCCAAAAATACACTTCTTCCCAACAACAGCCCTTAAGAGGCCCACCCGTGGTCAGGCTTGGCTGCCTTAAGGGTTCATGTTCGGGCTTGGCAGACAAACGAAAACGCCAGAACAGCAGAATTGGAACGGGTGAGTCAGTCGCACGTGGTTAGTGAGATCATACACGCGTGGCGACCACACTAACATAGCCTCCGTAGCAGGCTTATAGAACTGGGGGTTTGGTGGTCTTCGGCTGTTCTAAAAAAAACGGGGGTAATTCAACCAGGCCGGCTATGTTGTCTATATGCAATCAGAAAATAGCACATAAAAGCTCCCAAAGACCAGGAAGAACCCCCAAACCCCCAGTTTTTGGCATGCTATGGAGGCTAGCACCTACACATGTCACGGGGCTTGCCCTGTTTTAGATTCAATGCACGGTTTGCTTAGCCTGTCGAAGACATGGACAGCTAGACAAGGGCTGTCAAACTAGCCAGTGTCTGTTACAAGGAGCATGCTAGGGAATACTAGTAGGAAAGTTGCTCGTCTAGGATATCTTGATCTAGCTATCGCAAGGACTTAACGTTAAAGTGTTAGAATGAAATGAAGCCAGATGGAATGCAACAAAATCTTAATTTTTTAAGGTATAATAAAATGAATTAGGAGACAATGACATGAAGCAAGGTACCACTCAACTTGTTTGAGACTTTTATTAAGTATTAAGTAAGACCAAAGCGATTTTAAACAGTTAAGACATCTCTTTAATTGGTGTAACAAGTTGCTCACTTTGCAAGCACAATCGTTTGGGTGTTACTGTTAAAAAGAAGAAAGAAAAGAAATGTAAAGACAAATACATTTTTTCAATGATATTTTTTTCAATAAAATAACGGATTCAAGCGTAATATTGAGGAGTGAGACTTACAAGGAACTTTGTAGTAAATTAGTACCAACCATACTTTTTACATGTTATGCAATACACGATTGATTAATAAGGATAGCGTTACGATGTCCATTGCACTTATTCACAGACTAACCTTGGTTCATCATCATCAATCATGGTTATCCAGTCAAAAGAATTGCGAAGAATTAAGTAAAATGTCTTTTGGGAACCAAGAAATCACCATGGCAACGAGAATGCCCTCCCTCATCCAACAGGTGGCAATTTTCCTGGGCGCTGATTGGTGCAAACGAACAAGCCCCCGACGTTCCATCGTACCTGGCAACGCGTACGTACAAAATTTGGCGGGAACGGCAGAAAAAGTTGTTTTTTTACTCGCAAATCCTCCAAGAAAACAATCCAAAATGTTGAAATCCGCGCTGAAACCTGCAAGTGTACGAAGTCCATGGTAGTCCCAGTGCGATCTTCTTGCTTCGACCCAACTTTCTAAGACACAATATTTCCAAGACAGACTTTTGGAACGACGTATTTCCTTGAAGACGCTAGTATCTCAAGTAAATCCGAAAGTCTTGAATACCGTCTTAGCCGTTGGAACCTCCTTGCCGGTGTCTAATTTAGGTTAGTTTGAACCATCAGACGACTTTTTAGGTCAGAAATGCGGCCACGCGATTGGCTGATGAGAAATGGCGCCATCAGGCCACCTCCTCACGTGATGACGTCAGTTGATTAGAACCCGAAAACTCGCGCGCTGATTGGTCAGATTTGACCCCCGCGCACGCGCCCACCAACCAAAACAAAGAGGTCACCCTCTAGGCAGAATCGTCCGATTCTCGTGAACATATAGACTTTTTATATCGCTTTTTGCTCAAATTGCTGGGAGATACGGCAAAGACTAGACGTTCTGTGCGTCTGCAAGGATATCGAGAACCTTTTGGGAGATTTTGGAGGCCAGGAGATTGAGAAAAAGGTGAGAAATCGACTCGAAACTGTGGTGTTTCCTGTTTCGCGTGTTGGGGAGGGGGGCGAGTTTCATAACGGTACTATATGATGATATTTTTACATTCCATAATTTGTGATCACACCTAAATGAGTGCCATACGGTTGATTCAGCCTGGGTAGCCTATGATTTTGTGTTGTCCTAAGTAATGTACTGTATATTCTTCAAAAACAAACCGTTCAGAGCATAACAGTCAAGTAAGTGTCGAAGTTAATCTAGACCAGCTGTTAAAAAATTCATGAGATCTTCTATAATTTATCTATTCCAAATGGACACCTACGTATGTAGCAATCAGTCGTAACCGTTGGTAAACTAGTAGTTGCTGTGTAAAACAGCTATTTGAATTTTTAATTATATACTACTGGCAACATATTGCACTGTTTAATAATACTTAAGGAAGTTAGGGCGAGTAGGTATGGCATGATCGCATGAATGCCATGATGTCTCAGTCATCGACTCATAGTTTTGGATGACTCATTCGGGTGATTCCCCCAGTTTTGCTAAACACTACATTGGGTTTTCACTTTCCATTTCAATGAATCTTCAAATACTTTTCTGCATACCTGCACTGGTGCTCGTAACATTGAAAATTACCTGCACCAGACAAATCTTACCTGCACTGCAGAATCAAGGAGCTGAGAATCTGGCTTGTGTAGGTCCTTGAAACAGTACTACTGTACTACCTCTGGCTACCTCTGGCTACCTCTAGAATCTGGCTTGTGTAGGTCCTTGAAACAGTACTACTGTACTACCTCTGGCTACCTCTGGCTACCTCTAGAATCTGGCTTGTGTAGGTCCTTGAAACAGTACTACTGTACTACCGGTATTGTAGAGTCTATTGTCCAGACTATATGGTCTAGGGCCCTAGGAGTTATTATATAGTGTGGGTACCACTGAATCACAAAAGCAGTACAGTACAGTCTCCTGACTCAAGGATTCGAAACTTTGCTGCTAGATGCTAACTGCAGGCCATAAGGTCTAGACCTGTTGGACTGGTAATATGATGGCGCTTAAACCCCACTGCTGTTACACAGATGACACTAGTATAAAATGTATAGTGAGATGTGTCGGAAATTGTGTCCTAATCTTGCTTATCTTAATTACCACTCAGACAGACAAGATGCCAGGATCTGCGGGAAAGAGGAAAGCCGAGAACTGCTGGCCCGATGACGTTGGCATTGTCGCCATGGAGATGTACTTCCCCGCCCAGTACGTCGACCAATCACAGCTCGAGGAGTACGACGGCGTATCTTCGGGGAAGTACACGATCGGCCTGGGTCAACAGAAGATGGGGTTCTGCAGCGATAGAGAAGACATCAACTCTCTCTGCCTCACTGCTGTGCAAAACCTCATGGAGCGCAACAATGTTTCCTACGAGAACATCGGCCGACTCGAGGTATATAATAGTTCTTTATTTATTTATTTATCTTAAAACGACTGGGTGACCCAATCAGCTAGTAGAAGCTCCTTTTCAATGGGGCCCAGCATACATCTATCCAGGAATGAGACAGGGTCACCTTAAGTCAGACAACAAAAGGTGGGCAACAGTCAAATAAAATCCAATGCGTCAAAACAAAAATCTTATCCATAAATCAAAGTTGTCATAGCGTTCCATGACAAAAGTTTTACAAAATATACTACAATGGAAGAAAACGTGCAGGGGGTGGAAGAAAAGCCATAAAGGCTGGCTTGTTTGATCTCCTTCCCATCAGGTCCCAAATCTTTTATTATGTTTACCGAAGGAAAACATATCATTTTTGCTCAGTTTCTTCTTCTCCAAACAAATAAGGTCAATGACCTGAAACAGATGGCTGTCCCCATGGTAACTAGTGTTGTGTTACATCATGTTGCAATGTTATTAAGCAGGAGGGATGTAGACTCCTGTCTGACCATATATGTATGAATGTGTCTTACTGAGAATTAACAGAGCTGACCATATGCAAAGGTGAACATTGCATTTGCTCTGCACAAAGTGTTTTTGTGGTGGTCAGTCCTACGTATATACTGAGTGGAAGTTCATACTCCCTGCATGTTCGGTCAGTTATGGCCGACGTGACCTGGGCTCAATGTTTCTTTTATTTGTCAATAAAGAATGATTTTAATACTTGAGTTTTTGTGTTCCTCAGGTTGGCACAGAGACAATCATTGACAAGTCGAAGAGCGTGAAGACGGTTTTGATGCAGCTGTTTGCCGAGTCTGGGAACACGAACGTGGAGGGAATCGACACAACCAACGCCTGCTTCGGGGGGACCCAGGCCCTGTTCAACTCTCTCGCTTGGGTGGAGTCTAGTGCCTGGGATGGTAAGTTAGAATATATTAAAATACATTGATGAAGGTTAGACATCCAGGTCATGAGATACACAAGAAAACAGCTATTCAAGCAACTGAATTTTGAAAACTGTCAGACGTTTCAAGAAGCATCCACTTTTTGCAAGTGAGTTTTCCCTAGTCAGACACTACTTTTTACCAGTCACTGCTAAAAGTAGTGGATACTACTTGAAACATCTGACAGTTTTCAAAATCTATCCAGTTGCTTGAGGAAGTTTCTTGCGTAAGTTACTACAGTAAGTGCTTTTACCGAGGTAAACTTCTAGTAAACGGCTAGTAGTACTGGTCTTCACACTGCACCTCCAGGCAGCCCTATCCAGTGGGTCAACACTGGCAAGGCCGCGCTCTCTAATGTCTTTCTTCACACACTCTGTCCAGGTTTTCCTTGTAACCATTATATGTTGCTTGTACCCCAGGTCGGTATGCCCTAGCAGTGGCGGGTGATATCGCCGTCTACGCGACCGGGAACGCTCGACCAACAGGAGGGGCCGGAGCTGTAGCCATGCTGATTGGTCCTAACGCTCCTCTGGTCATCGAGAGAGGTGAGATGGTCTCCATCTACTAACAAAACATATACACAAACAAACAAACAAACAAATAAACAAACACTTATTCACTGACTGTTGGAAAACAGTAGATCATACTAGATATGCTACTTCAATTGTCTGACAGTTTTCAAAATCTATCCACTTGCTTGAGTAACTGTTTCCTTGTGTATCTGACTCATTACAATTTACATGTACAGTATCAGGATATCTGATCTTCATCTACGTATCTACATGTACAGAACATAGTTTTCAGCCTTACTGAAAATGTGAAAATTCATCTGTGTTCAAAGAAGTATTTTATTCTGAAGCAACGTTGAACTGTAGTTTCCAATACAAAAGTTGGACTTCCCAATGTTACAGAAAGTTTATGGCACCCCCATTATAAAAAGCTTTGCCTGTCAAAATGTGTTTCTGTTTAATTGTGAGAACATATATCGGTATATGTGATGACCAAACAAACAAATGCTATTTAGAATATAATGCAGCACTGTACATTCTGAGATATGACTGGTTGTTACTGTTACATGGTAAATTGTAACTTACACACCTGTATTATGACACCTCTATGTTCCAACAAACAACCTATGTGTCAACCTATGTTCTGACACCCCAAACCACATGCACATGTACATATGTTGGAACATATACATGTATGGCTGTGCCTGCTTGTTATGTACAAAGTCTGTCTCCAACTTAGCTTATTTGCTAGTTTTTTTAGTTGCAACTTGGCTAGTACATGTAACAAAATCTGGCGATTCATATTTGTGCATGTGACTATCGTCACGAATGTAGTTGTCACAATATGTAACTATGTATTACCTTTAGCCCCTACTCACTCACACACACACGTGCCCCACAGTTAAACACACCAAACAACAAACGTCGCTTCGCGTGGAGCAAGTTTATTGAACTTTACCTCCCGCTCCAAGGTGACCTTTGTGAGGGTTTGGCATCGCCATGAAGTTTGGTCTGGATGTGTTTGACCTTCAGACAAGGTCATCTCCTTATCTCCGCTTCCGCAAACATTTGTGCGGCTCTCGGAGCGCGCATGCGTTGTGGAGACCCTTTCCCCACATCCTGGGCGCTCTGTAGGGTAGACTTTGTACAGTTAGCATAATAGGTTTCCCATACAGACAGTTATTGATGTAATGTCATTGTTTTACTCGGGTGCGTAGTGGCGGTCATGTTTCTACTCCCACTGTATGTGTGGTTTAGATAAAAGGCTTCGCCGTCAACTGTACTTGCAGTTGAGATTATGTCATTGTTGATTTAGTGAAATGTACTCAGTTTCCTAGATATGCAAGTTATGTGGTACTGCTGTACTGGCCTACAAAATTTTTTTCGTTGTTGTGTTTTGAGAGATGACAAGTTGTATTCTGTTTGTGCTGAACAGTTGAATAATATTTCGTTATTTCATGTATTTGGAGAGCATATTGAATATGCTGACATTTTTGTTGAAAAGTTACCTGTACACTAATAATAAAAAAAATATACGTATAAAAGAATTAGTACCCAAATTAGATATCTTTTATGTTATCCGCCTAATATTTGGCATAGAGTTACATTGTATCTCTGTGTACATGGCTCTTTTCAATTCTTAAAAAAATCTTTATCTCATTAGACCTCTAGACAGCCTTTTCTTTTTATCTGCATGTACCGGTATCAAGAAGTGTAGGTGACCCAGTGTGCTTGGCTGAAAACATGACCTGTAGCAAATCTGCACTTGACTGTGGTTAGCCTAACCATGCAGAACCTTCCTCCTGTATCATATGACTGTGTTTATTTACGTTAGTTGTTACAGGTTTAGAAAACGGCTGAGTTGCCAAATCTGTGTCAGGTCAACTTTGCCACACTTGGCACTTCTCACTTCTCACGCACTCCTTGTTTTTTAACGCAGGGGAACTATTGAAGGCCGCATTACTGGTTTTTTTAAAAAACCTGAACACGATGGACTTTGGCCAGTGTTTCTCTTCAAATAAAGAAACAGATCTTTCTCTTCTTTTGCCACATCGACAGTGCTAGGTGACAATAATTACCCCAATAACAAGTTGCTATAAATCAAAATGTTACAAAAAGTACATGATGTACCTTATAAAACTAATGATACCTGTATGATCTTATGCTGCAACATACATAATATGTTATGTGTGATTGTTTGTTTGTTTGTTTGTTTTTATTTATTTAACCAGGGGGATACATATCGCCCATGGGGCGCTTTTCAATGAGCCCTGGGCTCATTTTCCTGAATTTTGAAGAAAATTTTGGTGTCCATTATTTTTGCTGCTGGACTAAATTTTCTTTAAAAAAAATGATTCACCCTGGTTCTGTCTTGTCATCAGATCTAGGAAACTGTAAGTGAAAAAACAAGAAGGGGCATCAAAAAACAAGCGTTTGTCACTAAACAAATGTTGACTGAGGTTTGACATTTGTCTAAAGTGATAAGACAGGATTCATCAATGAGGAGTCATCAACTGTTGGGAAAGATGGGAAAAAACATTACGTATTTATGAGATAAGAAAATCACAGAGTGTTCTGTAATAGCTCTCAGTTTGATAATTACTAGTCTTAATGTATTTGCAGCACTTGACATACATGTACGTTGTGTCTACCTGAAAGATATCATATTATCATATTATATAGTTTGCAGGAAATCATAAGATTCCAGAAAAAGATGTAAGTTATATCTTGGCTTTTTTGGGGCCTATAATGTCCTTTCTTTCTGGTTTTATTTCTCTTATTTGTTACAGTTTACTCAGTCAGTCTTACTCAGTTTTTTACTAAGTCAGTTTCTTACATTTACAGTTTTTTTTTTCAGTTTCATTGTATTTTATAGCTAATACTGTAAGGTAAAAGCCTTGAATTATTACGCTGGATATACAATGAGTTAGAAGGTTGTAAGTTCTTTCTGACAGAGGTTTTGGATCTTGGCCCTGTTGTTCCTCTTGTGAATCTGCTGAAGCAGCGAGGATGGGCAAAGTCCACTCCTGATGTAATTAAGATGTAACATCGTTAGCCAGGTCATAGGGCAAGGTCCGAACACAGACAGCGATCCACGATGGAGGCCACAATAATTCAATTCATTGGTTTACTAGGTCTTATTTTTCTGAAGAAAGAAGTACAAGCTTTGAATTTTAATTCTATTTTATTGTCATAGTCATTATTGCCATCTGGCCATAGCAACCAGCTTTTCTTAGTCTCAAAATCAGTCAAAGGTTTTTCCAAACATTAAGTGGCCTACCCAAGAAGACCACCTGTCTAAGAGGACCACTTTACCTAGATATGGATGTAGGGTGGCCCTCTTGAACAGGTTTTAGTCTATTGCAATACTGTGCACTAAGTCTATGACTATGAACATAGCATCAGACTATATATAAAGAAACTTTATAGAAACTTTATTCGCAAAATCATGCCCGAAGGCTAATTGCTTTTACAATCAGGTATAATACTCATTGCAATACAGTACCTGGAGACAAGTAACAACTGTCTGGAAAAAACTTCTACTTCTACTACTATGCTAGCTATTATGGGGTTTGACTTCTTCTTTGAAGGCAGTGGATAATGAATAGTCCCACATTCTGCATAAGGAGTGTATATATATATACAGTATATATATATATATATATATACATTTTGCAGAAGTTGTTCCAAGTCTCAGTAGAGGTCACCGTGTCCTTGAGAAAGCTCTTGTTCTACTTTAAGTTGCTGAGCTGGCCTCCTTCCCACATTCTTGTCCTGCTGAAGTCTGCAGGGAGGAAGGCACTTCAGTGTGTTTACTGAGGAGTTACTGTAGAGCTTGAAATGCTTTCGGTGGTTATTGTCTTTTCGCTTTTCACTGTGACTCCTTACTGTGAAATCATTACACTTAAATTACTACGTATTACAGAAATATTTCAGCTGCGAACTTCAAATACAACAATAACAGCCTAAGATCTGACCTCACTATTTTGCTGCCAATCATTTGCTTGGTTTAAGTTTAGAGTGATGTTGAAATAGCTTTTGTTTCTTGGTTCTTCAGAATGTCAGTACTTACTTTTGCACATTAAAAAAGCATTTTTTTAAAGTGCAAAATGTGATGATTCTATTCTAGTTCAAGTTTGCTTCTTTTTCTGATTGCTGCCCTTGTAAACTATCCCCTCATCCTGCCTGGCAGTTGTTTTCAAATACATTGATAATAATATTCAAATTCCAATGATATCGCAGTCAGTTTGTTGAAAACAATAAGAAGGATTTTATGCCAGGTTGCTCCTTTCCAGCTTTGACACTGCCAAGAATTTGACCTTGAGAATCGGGCAGGCGACCTTGAGAGTGAAGACCAAGTTTGGACTTTGTTCCCCGCCGTACATGTGTGGTACACACAAGGGAAACAGGAGATTGTGTTGGTGTTTCAGGGACTTCTTGTTCCTCTGCTTAGTCTGAGGGTTTGTAAAGTTTAGGGTCACGACAAAAATGGGGGCAAAATATAGATGAACTTTACGTTCTTAACATGGTTTCTTTTGAGTTTTGGGGGTCAAATATGTGAGAGTATCTCATGCTAATAGGCAGTATCCAACAGGCCAGACAGTGTCGAATTGAATACTGTATATCGTGCACATACATTGTACTATCTCAGGTTTACCCCCCAAAACATTTGCATGCTTGGAGATGGTGGGTTTTTTCTGGTACATTTTATACATATTCATATAGCCTGGGTGCCATCATATTTGTATATCCGGGCTACCATACTCACTCGATAACAGTCACTCTACAACAGATATCTCTTGTCAGACTCAAAGTAGTTTTTTTCTGTTGTATGGTTAGTATAAATGAGCAAATACCTTTTTAGCTTGACAGTTGCTTACACTGTTTTTTTCTTCTTTCTTAATCTCTGAAGAGTCATTCCTTGATCAGCTGACTAATCCAGTTCCTTGATGTACCGTTATGTTGTGTTATGTATATTGTTCTACCCAGATGTCTAACCTTCACGGTCGTATAAAGTGACGCTTGTTTTTTTAAAC